AAATTATAATTGAAATTTTCATTTTGGATGGCAACAAATCAATACTTGAAATTAGTTTTGTAAACATGCAAAGTTGTTGCTGTTGTTGTCTTGCTATGAACTGATTCGATTTGAATATTCGAATATAAAAAAAATACTTGGGTTGCGTAAATATACAAATTTAACTAAATAAAATGAATATTAGAAACGGTCGGGCTTCAATTTAGATATTGTTTGATTGAGTGTTTGTTGTGGTTGTTGTTGCTATTTGGTTTGAGCGGCGAGTGCTTAATTGCTTTAAGCTCTTCTTCCCTTTCTTCTCCTTCTCTTGTTTGTTGTTGATTTTTGAACACTCTACCGAAATAGTTGTTTTTGCTGTTTGTCACCGGAGACTTTGGCTATTTAAAGCTTGGCGCAGATCTCGTTTGTGAATTCCGAGCACTTGGCCTTTCCACCGAGATCGCCAGTTAGATATTTGCCCTCTTTGATGGTCTCGAATGCGGCGCGTTCAATCTTGTCCGCATGCGAATTTAGCTCCATGTGACGCAGCATCATCACAGCAGACAGTAGCAGAGCTGTGGGATTTGCCAAGTCCTTGCCGGCAATATCGGGCGCTGTGCCATGCACCGATTCGAATAGAGCACCATTCAAGCCCATGTTGCCCGAGGGCGTCAGGCCAAGACCACCGACCAAGCCGGCGCACATATCAGATAAAATATCACCATACAAATTGGGCATGACCTAGGAAAGAGAGATTACTTAAGCAACGAAATGATTCAAACTAACATTCAAATTAGTGGCAAGCGTTGCCAGCTCGTTAATAAAATTCAAATTGAGCCACCGACCATCGATTAGGGTCCACTTACCAGCACATCGTATTTGCCTGGATTCTGCACCATATTAAGGCAGACCGTGTCCAAGTAGCGTTCCTCGAACTGAATTTCCGGATATTTTTTCGCTGTATCACGCACGCAACGCAGGAACAAACCATCCGACATACGCCTGTCAAATGAGAGATATATAAACGTATATAGCTATCCAGCTAAGGCTCTAGAGATCTAAAGATCTACTACTTACATAATGTTGGCCTTGTGCACAACGGTCACCTTCTTGCGATTGTTATTCTTGGCATACTGGAAAGCATAGTCGGCCACACGCATCGACGCTTCCTCCGTAATGAGCTTGATACTCTGGACGACGCCATCCACAATTTCGTGCTCGATGCCAGAGTATTCACCTTCAGTATTCTCACGAATTGTGACGACATCGACATCATCGTAGAGCGTCTTGTAACCCTCCAGGCTGCGGCAGGGACGCACGTTGGCGTATAAGTTGAATTCCTTACGCAGAGCCAAGTTAAGCGAACGATGGCCCTTGCCAACGGGTGTCATCAGGGGTCCCTTGAGACCGATCTTGTTGGTGTTGACCGAATCGATGGCGGCCTGGGGTATGCCGAATTTGCCATCGGGACCCTGAGAAGCAAAGTATTTAAATTAATATTCAAATTCTTATGGCGGGCATATGACTGACATGTGTTGCCAGTAAGTGAATGAATTATCTACGAGCTTTTCGATAATATCGATTATTTTCAGACAAGCGTTGCCAGCAAGTTTCTGCGCGCCTTATTCAAAAATAAACGGTTGAAAAATCATATGATCAAATACTTACACGCACGGGTGTTACATCAACAGCTTCCCACTCGATGGGAACGTTGGCGGCAGTGAAAATCTTTTGCACGGCAGCAGAGATCTCGGGGCCGATGCCATCGCCGGGTATGAGTGTTACCTTTCTGACCCCGGACGCATAGCCGCGAGTGGCAGCGGGCGTTGTGTTGACCTGCAAGCAAACAAATTTAAATGCCAATTAATTACAAACGCAATCCACAGCGACACAGGATCACAATCTACAGAACCTATCCGGTTGCCAGATGTCTGGTTACATAAGCGACATCTCGCGCATGCAAACGGAAGCAGCGGTGGCGCTGCAGCTAATCGCGCGTTGAGGTTAAGCGCGTCTGGCAAGGTGGGCTGGCAGGCAGGCGGCGGCGTTGCCATCGCTATTTATGCAACCCGTGCGAAATATAGAAACTGATAAGCTTAAGAATCTAATTTATGAGGGTGTTTGTTTTCCCAAATTGATCAGAATCAAATTGAAGTGTTTTTGGTTTTGCAACTATCAAGAAGTCTTAGACAATGTAGGCAATCTTCCATCAACCCCCCGCCCCATCCCTCATTCACGCGGTGTGTTATGTAAACGAAGCAGTGCTTGTTTTTCTTACGCTCCCTCTTTTGGACCAACGGTAGTTGATTCTGTTGCTGTTGCTGTTGAAAGTGCACGCACCTTGGCTTTAAATGTTGCTCCGGCCAAGGACGTTGACTCGGTCGCCGCCTGAAAACCCAATTGCTTCAACTGCCAAATATATTTTTTGCGTAATGTGTTGTTGTTGTTGTTGTTGAGGTTGTTTGCACGTTGGTTGGGGGTGTATGTTAAGAACAAAATCAAAAAGTTAGTTTATGTTGCGTTATTATTAGTTATTTCTTTTGGTTTCTTTCCCCTCCTGGAAGGGCGCACGTAATCACAAATGGGCAAATATTGCATCTGTATGCGTGTGTGTGTCTGCGGGACAGAAGGCGAAGGAGATTTGCGAAAGGGTTGACAGTCGCGGCACATACAATGTTTGCTTAACTAATTTGGCAAGCTGTTAAAATTATTTTATTAAACTCTCTTATGATCTTACAATTTTCTGTATAAATCTAGCAGCCATTGCGTTGCGTTTTTGGGTTACTTGCACTTGGATTATTTTCACGTATAGAAAAAATTTGACCACTCGCACGTCTGAGACTTTACTTTGCGCCCGCCGTATCGCCACCTAGCGGAAAAACTGTCGAATCTGGAGCATGACCGATATGCGTGAGCTATTGGTTATCGAGCATGCTTTTGTAAGCGTTGCCATACCATATAATTGTCACATGTTTAAAAACAAGTTATACAAATACGTATGATATTTATATTACTTATGAATTATTAATTGAAGTTAATATGGCTAGTAATCCTAAAGTATAAAGAGTTATTTGAACACATTTTGATCAAGTTGAATTTATGTAGATGCAAAGAGAGATTTTACTGTGTATATCAATTAAATAAGGAAACTGGCGCTTCATTTTCTTACACATAGAATGTTAGGAATTTGTCTTATTTATTTATTTACTGTTTTGTTTTTTGTTTTTTAAATGCCTACAGTTCGTTTTATGATCGACAACGATGGCATCACTAAAACAACAGCTAAAATCGAATCGATATCGATGCTCTGTAGCTATATCGATAATGTCTTTTGCAACGTTGCATCTTGCAGGCACAGTTTAAATTAATTTCGGCTCTTGCGGACATTTTACGCCGTATTACATATAAAATTAATTTAAACAAATTCTCTGTGGCTTAATTAATTGCCTAAGTGTATTTCTATCCGCTGCTACGTTACAAAGCTCGTGCGTGTCGCGTAACCTATTGACCAACAGAATAAAATTAAACGACCAAAACGACAGACAAAGCTACGCTACGGTCGTTACTGGCAAAGTACGCTGTGGAACGGCCAATGCAGAATTTTGTCATACGCGAGTATTTTTTTTTCGCGTTCAGTTTAGGTTTTAGTTACCTGCGCGCAACAACCCCGTCGCCTTAGTCGCTGAGTTTCAAATTCTAAAACCCGAACATATTACAAAGTGTGCATTGCATGAGCAATAGTACGGTTCCGTGTTGTAATTTAATAAACTCTCAATCGTGTAAATAAGCGAAAGCAGCTGCTACAGTATATTATACTCTGCGTTTGTTTAAGGCGCAAGTCTTTAAATAGTTGTATTTGTTCTCTCTCGTTTGTTTGTTTACTGCAAACGGGTAGCAGTTAAAGGTAAGCCATAAAGCATTTGATGTTTTTATACGTGTTTAAAATGTGCACTTTGCATTGCATCTCAGCTGCTTGGGCTAATACGCACACACTCGCAATCATCGCGCACACATACAGGCACACGCGCGAATACACACGCGCATACATATATAGATGTGTATAGCACACGCACAAATACAGATGTATAATCTTTTGACAGCACACTACGGTTGTTACGATAAAGTGCGACTTGTAGGAAGATTGCCTACTTTGCTTAAAATGCGCCGAGTTTCTATTTAATATACTTTTTCGTACATTTTTCTATTAGTTGCCTTTGAGTAATAGATTTATTGTGCACTTCATTTCTCGTCTAAGATTTGTTGTTCAAGAGAACTGTACAATAACCAAATTGGAACTATTGATTTCCTTTTGCAGTTGCTCCTCGTTGGTGCTGTTGTTTGTTTGTTTTCTTTGTGATTGGAGTTGCAAGAATACGCGGCACGCTGGAGAAACAAAATAAACGCTCCCAGCTCATACGCGACAAGATGGTGTTGGCCGAGCGCAACACCGGAGACATAGTCCGCAATGGCCGTCGCTCACGTGGACCCAGCCCCAATACACATCAGAGCGGCGGTGGCAGCGCTGCTACTGCTGCCGCAGCCGCTGCTGCTGGGCATGGCCACAATGCTGGCGGCTTGGGGGTAGGTGGCAACTCTGTTAATTCAGGCAACGCAAATGAGAAAGCCGCAGCTGCTGTCACAGGAGCTGGCACACCCGAGAGCTCCGACGATGATAACTGTGAGTATATAGATGACTACCTGTATATATGCACATCATTTTTATTAAAATCTCCTACTTCCTTCTCCTAACTTGATCTCCATGTAGCGACCAAGCGAAATGGCAAGTCCAAGGCGAAGCAATCTGAATATGAAGGTAAGCACTTTGTTATTCCATACAGTTCTTCAGCCGTGCAATTTCAAATTTTGTCATTCTTTCAGAGAAAATCCGTGTTGGTCGTGACTACCAGGCTGTGTGTCCACCGCTAGTGCCTGAGCTGGAACGTCGTCCAGAACTGATGAATGAGCGTGCGCTGCTAGTGTGGTCTCCCACCAAAGAGATACCCGACATTAAACGTAAGCAACAATCGATTGACAACCTGCTGCTGTCTGAATCTATAACATTTTCTTCTACTTCTCTTTCTTCAGTGGAGGAATATATTTCGGTGGCCAAGGACAAGTATGGCTACAATGGCGAACAAGCTTTAGGCATGTTATTCTGGCATAAGCACGATTTGGAACGCGCTGTCATGGACTTGGCTAACTTTACGCCTTTTCCCGACGAATGGACCATGGAGGATAAAGTGCTGTTCGAGCAAGCCTTTCAGTTTCATGGCAAGAGCTTTCATCGTATACGCCAAATGGTAGACAAATCTCTCCCTATTTCTCTCTAACCCTATATATATTGATATATATATAATACGATGAAGAGATGTAGCTAAAAATTGTCTTCTTGTTACTAGTTGCCGGATAAATCGATAGCCAGTTTGGTCAAGTATTATTATTCGTGGAAGAAGACGCGTCATCGCAGCAGCGCAATGGATCGACAGGAGAAAATGTTAAAGGCCGCTGTCAAGGACGGCTCCGAGAATGGCAGCGAGCTAGGCAGCAATGAGGAATCCGATAACGATAACGACAAGGTAATTATCGCTTAGCACTTACAATCTCGATCGATAAATCGAAAGACAAAGATAACCAAAATACTCAAAACTAAACAATGACAATAAGCAAGACTCTGCCACTCCTCCGAGACATCATCCTACTCTTCTCCATGCTACACCGTACATCAGTACATCAATATATCTATACTTTCATATACATATATACATCCACACATCTGAATCATCATCAGCTCGTTCCCATGCATAAATTTGCATAGCTAGAGATATCTTCTTAATTCATTCTCATCTACATACAGAATTGCACATACGCGCACATACATACACACATACAAGCGCACACGGCTTTCTCGAGCATTCTTGTAGCTCTCCAAATGTTGTTTTCTCAAATGTATATTAGATAGCTACCTATAGAGTATCTGAATTAGCGCTATCTATGAAATCTGTATCTATCTATGATTGTAATGTTGTATAGATTAGAAGAAGAAATTTGAGTATTATATAAAAATATAGTATTTATGGAGGTTAGCATTATCAGACATTCTGTCCAAAAGCTATAAAATATAATATTGCAAATATATAGATACATATTAGGTATTCTAAAATATATCATTACTAGTTTAGTATTATCTTCAGTGGATAGATAGATTGAAATTGATAGGTATATAGATTATATATAAAGATGCTGATAAGCAAATGAATAGATAGATATACGAAGATATACAGAGATAGAATAATGTATTGAGATAGAGTCAGAAGATACATAGAAATATATGGATATACAGATAAATAGATTGATATCTACTTATAAAGATAGATACTCAGGCATATTTGTATGTATGTATATGTAGCATATCTATCTATGGCATGAGATCTATCGAAATGATTGAGCTATCGTTATCGAAATGCATTGTTTATAGAAAATAATGAAACGGTATTTATGTGCGGCCTGTATAAATGTGTGTGCGTATGTGTGTGAGTGTATATGTGCCTCTAGTGTGCGTGTGTGTTTGTGTAAAAGGGGTGTGGCTTTGGAGTGGAACAAAAGAAATACCAAATATAGATAATAAGTTGACGAAGCATACATTTATATTTATGTACACTTCTTGGATAAATTAAATCTAAACTCTTAGACTATCCATACATATATAATTTTCTTTAAATTTCTTATTATATAAGAGCATAAGTTGGTCAACTCCTTTATGAGCAAACTCCCAAATTCAAGTCAAATTTGTTAAGCAAATGCGAGTGCTGCAATAAAATGAGTCTGGTTAGGAGATACCCTGTAGCTAACCTACACGTCCATACAAACAACTACACAGACACACACACACACACACATACATGCATCTATTCCTTTGCAAGCTCTATGATAGGCAACTTTTGTGTTTCTGGTCCGCTTCTAATGAAATTTATCCAACGATCTGTTGAAGCGGAAGTTGGTAAAGTAGTTTCAATTTAAATGAATGAGAATCTTAAATGTTTTCTGTAATTGTTCTAGATTTTATCATGAATGATAATGAATTTATCATGAATGATACTCATTTCTTTAGTAATATTTATAACTGTATTATTATATATGCAACACGTGGCGAAGAAACTAATAGTGCAGAATTTGAACCAGAGGTACTGTCCTTTTCTTTTGCGTTGATCTCTGGTGATATGTGTATACATACATATACATATTATATATGTATACACATTTTAATATATTGTCTGTATGCTCTATAGTTTTATTTCTTCTTTTCTTTAGGGTAGTTAGGTTTCGTTTAATAGATATAGAGTATAAATATGGTTCGTTACTTTTTTCAGATAATCGCCGTGCCTGCATATCTCTCATAAAAACTTTCACACACATACACACACCCGCACTCACATACACGCTTACGCACAAGCATACACACAGACGTACATTGTTTTTGTTTGTATTTTATGCCAAATCGAGAATAAAAGAATTACACTGACCAACATGTTTAAGACTCACACTAACCCACATGAGTGTGTGTGTTTTTTTTTTATGAATATTT